GCTTTGTTATATAACAACAGATGCTGCAATCATCTAGCAATCTGGAGAATATAAGATGGCTTCACTCATATGTTGTGGGACCTTGTTGCTGGCCATGGGGTTACTCTCTCTGTGTGATTTCTCATCAATCAGCAGTGATCTCATTTAACCTTGATATGGTGGTAGGAGTGTTCTACGATAACGAAAGCAGAAGCTCGAAGGACAATTGAGGCCTATGCTTAGGAACTCATATGGTATCACTTCTGTAACATTTTGTCAGTCAAAATAATTCACAAGCCCAGTCAAGAAACAAGAGGTAGTGAAACAGACTCTGTATAAGTAAGGTTCTCCAGAGAAACAGAACTAATAGGATATGAAGATTTATTATTACGAAGAATTTGTTCACATAATTATGGAGCAAAGAAGTCCCACAATCTGCTCTCTGCAAGCTGGAGACCCAGGGAAGCCAGTGGTGTAATTCTGTCTGAGTCTTAAAGGTCTCAGAACCAGGGGAGCTGATGATATAAATCCTAGTACAAGGGCAGGAGAAGATGAGAGGGGATGTTTCGGCTTAAACAGTGAGGCAGGGGAAAAAAAAAGAGAGAGAGAGAGGGGGCAGATTCTTCCTTTCTCCACCTTTTATTCTATTCTGGTCTTCAATGGATTGGATAATGCCTTTCTCTATTGGGAGGACATTATATTTTACTGAATCTACAGATTCAAGTTGATACATTAACTATCACAGACTCCCTCTCTCTTTCTCTCTCTCTCTTTTAAATCCACCCATCTGCACACTAAAGACTCCTTTCCTTGATGGGAAAAGTTGTAACAACTTTATGGCCATATTTAACCTCCCACAGGTAACTACAAACATCTTGAAGTAAATATAATATTCAATAATTTTACATTGAAAGCAACATAACAAGAACAAGATACAGATGCCCAATATCACCATTTCCATTCAACACATTACTAGAAGTTTAGCCACTGCAATAGGCAAGAAAAAGAAATAAAAGTTATGTAATTAGAAAGAAGGAAATAAAATGGTCATTATTCTCTACATAGCTGGAAACAGAAAGAAAAATGGCTAGACTACTAGAATTAATTAGTTTAATTAATAATTTAGCAAGGACGCTAGCTTGAAGACCAACATACAAAAATATACTGTATTTCTATTTTTATACTGAAAACAATTAGAAAATAAAAATTTACATTTAAAATGACATGAAATATTAAATGCCTAGAATAAATCTAACAAAGATGTGTGCAATCTCTACACTTAAAAACTATAAAGCATTATTAAGAGAAATTACAGACACAGAAATTACAAATAAATGGAGAAATATATCATTTTCATGGATTGAGTCAGCCCTACAGAATGCTATTATTAGTCTCTTAAGGCTGCTTTAATAAAGTACCACAAACTTTTTTTTTTTTAAACGACAGAATTTATTATTTCACTATTCTTGGGGCTAGAAGTCTAAAATTAAAGATCAGTAGGGTCGTCCTTTCTCTGGAACCTATATGGGAGAATCTTTCCTTGCCTCTCCTAGCTTTTAGTGTTATCAACAATCCTTAGCATTCCTTGGCTTGCAAATGCATACTTCAATTTCTGCTTCCATTGTTGCATGGTGTTCTCCCATGTGTATGTCTCCATATCTTCTCCTCTCTTAAGGAAACCAATCATAATGAATTAAGTGCCCACCTTACTTCGATATGGCCTCATCTTAACTAATTACATCTGCAACAATCCTATGTGACTAAATAAGGTCCCATTCTGAGGGTTAGGACTTCAACATATCTTTTTAGGCAACACAGTTCAACACAATGAATAACAAATACCAATTCTCCAAAACAGGCATACCACTTCAGTATAATACTAAAGAAAATCCCAATGGATTCTAAAATTTATAAGGAAAGTTGTGTCACAACTGACAAGCTGATTAAAAAATTTACATCAAGATGCAAAGGACCAAGGAAAGCCAAGACAATCTTGAAGGACATAAGAGGAGGGAGGACTTTTTCTATCATATGCTAAGATTTATTATAAAGCTATTACAGAAATTTAGACAGTATGGTATTTCCACAAGGAGAAACAAAAGGAATAGGCAACATAGTCCTGAAACAAACCCACATATATATATAGACAACTTATACATTTATACATGACAAAGGTGTCAATGCAGAACAGTGGGGTAAAGGACAGTCCTTTTAAAAAATAGTGCTTAATTCATTTAAAATTCACAGGGAAAAGCTGAAATCTGACTTACCTCACACTATATACACAACCCAACTTCAACTGGATTACAGAACTAAATGTGAAAGACTAGTAACATTTCTAGAAATTTTCTTCATTTGGTAGGAAAATATTTTTTACTTCAGAGTGTACAATAAGCACTAAGCACAAAGGTGTTTTTTTTTCTTTTTCTTTTTTTTTTTTTGAAGGAGTCCAGCCTGTCACCCAGGCTGCAGTGCAGTGGTGCAACCTTGGCTCACTGCAACCTCCACCTCCCGATTCAAGTGATTCTCCTGACTCAGCCTCCCGAGCAGCTGGGACTATAGGCACATACCACCATGCCCAGCTATTTTTTTTTTTTTCTAAGGCAGAGTCTTGCTCTGTCACCCAGGCTGCAGTGCAGTGATACCATCTCAGCTCACTGCAACCTCCGCTTCCTGGGTTTAAGCGATTCTCCTGCCTCAGCCTCCCGAGTAGCTAGGATTACAGATGCCCATCACACTCGGCTAATTTTTGTATTTTTAGTAGAAATAGTGTTTCACCATGTTGGCCAGGCTGGTCACGAACTCCTTCCTGGCCTCAAGGGTTCTGCCTGCCTCAGCCTCCCAAAGTGCTGTGATTATAGGCATGAGCCACTACACCCGGCCACAAAGGTCTTTTAAGTTCATCAGAAGATACCAATAATAGAGTGATAAGGCTACTGAATGGGAGAAGATACTTGCAATATATACAGTAGTCCTCCCTTATCCATGGGGGATGTGTTCCAAGATGTTCCACGGATGCCTGAAACCTCCAGTAGTATCAAACCCTATATATTCTATATTTTATATATATATACATATATATATATGTATATATATATAAAATGTGTATATACCTATGATAAAGTTTAATTTGTAAATGAGGCACAGAAAGAGACTAACAACTAATAATAGAACAATTATAACCATATACTTTAATAAAAGTTGTTTAAAACTTATGAATTAGGTCCAATATGGCGGCACCCAGTGGCGGTGTGAATTGTGAGGAGTTCGCCAAGTTCCAGGAATTAATCAAGGTGATGAGGACAATTGATGACAGAATAGTACATGAATTAAAACACTACGGTTCCAACAGCTTCCTTTGCAGGGAAAATTGATGCCAGCCAAACCTGTAAACAACTTTATGAGTCTTTGATGGCAGCTCATGCCAGTAGAGACAGAGTCATAAAAAATTGTATAGCCCAAACGTCAGAAGTAGTAAAAAACCTCTGAGAAGAGACAGAAAAGAATATGGACGATTAACGTTATTAAAGCAACTTAGAAAAGAGCAGACAAAGTTGAAATGGATGCAGTCAGAACTGAATGTTGAAGAAGTAGTAAATGACAGGAGCTGGAAGGTGTTTAATGAACGCTGCTGAATTCACTTCAAGCCTCCAATGAATGAACAAAGAGAGATACTTTTTTTCTTTTTTTTTTTTTAAAGGATTGGGTCATCTCATAAGAGCTAAGCATGACAGGTATCAACAGGGCGGGCTTCCTAGGATGATTTATGAGCCAACAGTCCAAGACCTTTTGTTGATTTCAGCCCCACTTAGTCAAGACCTCAAATATAAATAATTCTGATAATTATGGACAAATCAACTGCTATTTTATATTGATCCTGTAAAAAAAAAGTTTTGTAACTATTAAAATAATTTTCTGACAGTGTAAAAAAAAACTTATGAATTATTTGTTACTGGAATTTTCCATTTAATATTTTCAGAATGTGGTTGACTGTGGGTAACTAAACTTCAGAAAGCAAAACCATGTCATCAAACTGAAACTACCTTGTTATATGAAGTTCTGAGAAGTCAGGAAAAACAAATAACAGTCTAATTTCCCGAGCGCCAGTTTCAATTAGGATAATAATGAAATTCCTTCTGCTTTAATCCTTACCAAAAAAAGATAAACTGAAGTTACCTGATATTAACCAATCAGTTATTTCTCTATTGTTTTGTTTCCTGGTTCTACTTTACAAGGAAAATAACTTATTTATTTATTTTTTGGAAAGTTACTTTGAAATGGACCAATCCGTTTTTTGTTCTTTGTTTCTGCTTTCTCCAGCCATTCTGTTTATAAAACCTACCTCTTCTGCTCAGTTCATTGGAACTGTTGTTCTATTTTACAGAATGAAGTGTTGCCAGATTCTAGAACACAAATAAAGCTAATTGAGATCTTTAAATTTGCTGTAATTTTGTCCTTTAACACCACCAATGACAAGAATGTTCACAGTGACATTATTCCTAATAGGCACAAATTGGAAACAACTCAAATGTCCATCAATAGTAGATGACTGATATTGTACTATATTCATAAAATGGAATACTATACAGCAATCAAAATGAATGAACAGTCACAAATCATAGATGTATCTGTTAACGTTGAATAAAAAAATAACAAATCTTCATTTTGGGCAAGTTAATTTTTCATTTATATCTTAGAGGTTAAAAAATTATACCTCTTAGGGTTATTGTGAGGATTAAGTGGGATGAGGCATGTGAAGTGCTTAGCAAGCCAAGTAATATTTATTACCATGCTCTCTCAGTAGGCCACTGTTCAGGAAATGGGCACTAAAGAATGCTACAACTTAGCTGGGCGTGGTGGTGGCGCCTGTAAGAAGCTGAGGCAAGAGAATCACTTGAACCCGTGAGGTGGAGGTTGCAGTGAGCCGAGATTGCACCACTGCACCCCAGCCAGGGCAACAGAGTGAGACTCTTGCCTCACACACACACACAAATACTACAGAACACTTACAGCACCTTCTAACGCCACTGATAATCTTCCTTAAACCCCTTTCTCCACCTATTCACTATTGAGCCTCGGTCTCTTTAAGAAGCAAATCAAAACTAAGGAAAGAGGAATGCTGGGAAGTTCTCCTCTGCTCAGGTCCTGAGCTTGACGGGAAAAGAGGGCGGAGATCAGGGCTGCGCATGCGCGGTTGGCCGGCTGTTGCGTTGTGATGGATCCGGCAGAATTCCAGAAGAGAAAATGATCTTTGTCTAGGCGCAGAGGGCTTGGTTCCTATTACCAAATTCCCTGTCCGGTGCTCCTCCGGTAGCAGGGAGGCGACAGAAGGTGAGCGCTGCCGCACTGGTAGTGGGCGGGACGGCGGGGGCTGAGGCCGCGCCACGTGACGAGGCGTTGCGGCGGGGGCGGTGCCAGGTGGGCTACGCGGCTGGGGCGGCTGCGGATTTCGCTTTTGGTACGCGTTGACACGCAGCGGGTAGTCCTCTGCTCTCTGTCGGAGACTACTTTGCCTTGTTAGTCCTTAGTGATAGGAGTGGGAATTCTTGGTGGGAAGTAGAGTTTCCGAACGCGTGCGGTTCTTAGAGGAGGAATGCGCGCCCATAGATAGTTGTGACTCTGGCGAGTGCGCAAAAGTTCTCATCTCTTTTTCGGAACAGGCTTTTCGACCAGTTGTCCGTTTCCGTCCTTGACTATTCGGATAAAGACAACTTTGAAGAGCTTTTTGTTTTAGGTTTAATTTGCCCCGTTTTGTTCTTTGACTCTTAGGGGAAGGGAATTTACTGAATGGCCAGTTGAGTTTCTTTTCCACAGGAGGGCGATTGTGAAGCGGCCCTCAGAGGGGCTTGATGCCCCCCACCTCCCACACGGAGACCATGAAAGAGGCAGGTGATTCACTTTCAGTAAGGGCGTGCCTGTTGTTCGCCTGCAATGAATGGCATCTTGAGCTAAGATGTAGCGTTAGGCCAAGAAATGGGGCCCTTCGGGAGGCTTCCAGTCGAGGTTGAGTTACAGGTCAGGGCAGGGAGGTTGTTGTGCCCCACTTTGAGAAATAAAAGCTGACGTGGGCCTCTAAGTACTGATTCTCATGGGGTCAGAAACTTTCTTGAGTCCATTCTTCTCAGAGTTTGGTAACTTCCTCCCACATCTTGATCTGCTGCTGGTCTGATTCCCTTCAATTACGTTCAACACAGGAAAGACCAGTGCGTGTGTCTTTAAAGATATTAGAGAAGTGGGAGCTGTTGCTGGAAAACTGTTTTCTTATGTAGCTACTGAAGGAGCAGAAAGCAGGAAGAAAGAAAAAAGTTAGTCATGGCCCCAGAAGAGTTGTTTTTCAAATGCTGAGCTGTGAAACCTCGTGCACTCAACACGAGGTTTTTCATATAGATAAGCTTGAAATAAAAAAAGAAAGAATAAACCTGAGTATGTATTTTAGGTGTCCAGCTATCCATTGCCAAGAAGAAATCTATTCGTTTGAGCCTGAGGAACTACTTCACGTAAAAAATTAGAATGAAAGAACCTTTGGATGGTGAATGTGGCAAAGCAGTGGTACCACAGCAGGAGCTTCTGGACAAAATTAAAGAAGAACCAGATAATGCTCAAGTAAGCATTTCATCTTGATTTAATTTAAAAAAAAATCCTTCTTTTTAAGATCTGGTGAACTGAAAAATTTTAGTTAGGCAGTTTCTGGTTTGTAAGTTAAAATAAACCAAATGGAGACAGGCTCTCGCTCTGTTGCACAAGCCGTAGTGCAGTGGTACAATCTCCTCAGGTCACTGCAGCCTTCACCTCCTAGGCTCAAGTGATCCTCCCACCTCAGTCTCCTGTGTACTTGGGACCACGGGCACACACGACCACGCTTAGCTACTTTTTTGTATTTTCGGTAGAGACTGGGTCTCGCCATGTTTCTCAGGCTGGTCTCGAACTCCTGAGCTCAAGCAGTCCACCTACCTTGGCCTCCCAAAGTTCTGGGATTACAGGTGTGAGTCACCATGCCTGGCTGGTTTTCTGCTCTTTGAATGAAAGATGTAACTACGTGTTTTTTTTTTTGGAAGGAAAGTAATGTATTTACCATTTTTCCATACTCTTCATTTAAAAAAATTCTCTTGAATCTGGTAGTACTTTCCTTTGTTCCGTTAAGAATCTGTGGTCTATGCTAGGCTCTGGGGATCCAGAATTGAGCAAAGTTAGCTTAGTCCCTTTCCTCGTAGAACTTATATGCTAGTAGAAGAGGCAGAAATTACACAAGTATTGGTCAAATAATATGTGTAATTACAAACTATGACAAATGCTCTGGAAGAGAAGCCTAAAATGGGGAATCTGACCTAGTTTTGGTTGTGGTCTGAGGCCTGGGGATGGCTAGGGAAGGCCTCTCTAAGGGAAGGATGTGTAAGCTGAATTATGAAGAATGAATTGATTAGGCAAAGGGCATGGTAAAGAGTATTTCAGAAAGAGGAAATTGTGAATGGGAAAGCCCTGAGTTGGAAAGATGCATGGTTCTTTTCAAGACCTGTAGGACCAGTGAGCCTGGAACAGAAAAGGTATGAAAATGGTGATGATGATAGTGATCAAAACAACAACAATAAAAATAGAAGGTATTAGTGTATCAGTATGTAGTATATATTATATCATAATCATGTGACATTATTAACTTAATACTTATATGTGCTTAAGAGTGTGCCAGGCACCATTCTCAACACCATATTGTTATCCCCATTTCACAGATGAGGAAACTAAAACTTAAAAAAGCCAAATAGTTTGCCACAGATCACAGTTAGTAAATAACAAAGACTAGATTCAGATCCAGGTGATCAGACCCCAGAACCTGTGCTATGCTGCTTCTCTATGATAAGACTGTATATATAGTTTGGGGCTGGATTATGCAGGACCTGGTGGACGTTGTTATAAGTTTTGATCTTTAAGAGCAGTTGATAGCCATTGTAGAGTTTTGTTGTTGTTGTTGTTTTGAGACACAGTCTTGCTCTGTCACCCAGGCTGGAGTATAATGGCATGATCTCGGCTTACTGCAATCTCTGCCTCCCGAGTTCAAGCAATTCTCTTGCCTCAGCCTCCCTAGTAGCTGGGGTTACAGGCACGTACCACCAGGCCTGGACAATTTTTGTATTTTTAGTAGAGACGGGGTGTTAACCCTGATGGTCAGGCTGGTGTTGAGCTCCTGACCTGGTGATCCGCCCGCCTCGGCCTCCCAGAGGGAATTACAGGCATGAGCCACCATGCCTGGCATTTTTTTTGAAGATGGAGTTTTGCTGCAATAGTGTGATCTCCGTGGTGTAACCTCCACCTCCCAGGTTCAAGCGATTCTCCTGTCTCACCCTCTCCAGTAGCTGGGATTACAGGTGCTCACCACCACGCTCGGCTAATTTTTTGTATTTTTAGTAGAGACGAGGTTACGAGGTTTCACCATGTTGGCCAGGCCGGTCTCGAACTCCTGACCTCAGGTGATCTGCTCATCTTGGCCTCTCAAAGTGCTAGGATTATAGGTGTGAACCACTGTGCCTGGCCAATTGTAGGTTTTAAGTGAGAAAGTAAGATGAAACAGATTTGTGTTTGGAAAGATCATTCTGGTTACCCTATAGGGACACAGAATGGAGAACACAGGAATCAATGTGGAGAGATGAGTTAGTTGTTTTGGCAAGGAACTTTTTTTTCTTCTAGGACAGTTCTTTTGCTTTATACTCTATAGTTATTGACTTTATTGTATAAGGGAAGCAATAATATTTTAAAATAATAAAAAAATTTATTTTTCATAACATCTCACATTTCCTTTTTTTTTTTTTTTTTTTTTTTTTTTTTTTTTTTTTTTTTTTTTTTTTTCCTGAGATGGAGTCTTGCTTTGTCTGCCCAGGCTGGAGTGCAGTGGTGTGATCTTGGCTCATTGCAATCTCCCCCTCCCAGGTTCAGGTCATTCTCCTGCCTCAGCCTCCTGAGTAGCTGGGATTACAGGTGTGTGCCACCATGCCCGGCTAAGTTTTTGTATTTTTGGTAGAGTTGGGGTATCACCATGTTGACCAGATTGGTCTCAAACTCATGACCTCAAGTGATCCACTCACCTTGGCTTCCCAAAGTGCTGGGATTATAGGTGTTAGCCACTGTGCCCAGCCACAGGCAGTATCACTTCAAGGCAGGGATGTCAGGTTTTGTTTCACTTATGAACTCTACGCCTTTCTACAGTGCTGAGCTGAGGAGTTCTGAGGTAGTTTCTATAAGATGTGGTGTAGGGGATGGTGGCATCCATGCCACTTGTTCCCTCCAGGTGGTAAATTCTTACTCTTTCTCTGCCTAAAGTAACCATTTCTTTGCCAGGGTTTGTGGATTCTAGCTTTTAAATATTTTTTGTATCTGACCCTTCATGTTCTTCTGTTATTTCATTATTTTTCTGTCTTTTTTTTGAGACAAGGTTTCACTTTGTTGCCCATACTGGGTTGTGCTGGTGTGATTATGGCCACTGCACTCTAAGCAGTCCTCCCACCCCAGCCTCCCAGGTAGCTGACCACAAACATGCTCCACCACATGGAGATAGTTTTTGATATAGATGGAGTCTCCCTATGTTGTCCGGGCTGGTCCTGAACTCCAGCCTCCAGTGATCCTCGTGCCTCGGCCTGCCAACGTGCAGGGATTATAGGCATCAGCCATTGCACTTAAATATTTCATTATTTCTCATTTGAACTTCTGTAATAGTTTCCTGGCTATTCTTCCTTCAGTCACATATCCCATCAAAACACTGTACAGTGATGCCATTGTACTGTGTAGATCTAGTGATATTTCTCTCTTTAAAGACCCTGTTTCCTCCTGTGTGATGAAGCAGGGATCTTTCAGTGTAACATCCAAACTATACATGTTTAGGCCTTTGTTTTCTCTTCAGTGTTATCATTCATTGTTCCCACCTTTTCTAATCTACACTCCTGCCAACTATTTGCAGTTCATTCAACATTATCTTCTAAAACTCTGTTGCATTTTATTTCTTTGCCTTTGTACATGCCATTTCTTATGCCGGTGGAAGAAGAAATAAGCTAGATAGGCTGGCAAAGTTTTGTGCTCTTTTAAGATGAAGTTTATCTGTCACTCACAAGTAGCGTGAACTATTCTCTCTCCTTTTTTTTTTTTCTGAGATGGAGTCTCGCTCTGTTCCCCAGGCTGGAGTGCAGTAATGTGATCTCAGCTCACTGCAACCTCTGCCTCCCAGATTTAAGCTGCTCTCCTGGGTAGCTGGGATTACAGGTGTGCACCACCATGCCTGGGTAATTTTTGTATTTTTAGTGGAGATGGGGTTTCACCATGTTGGCCAGGCTGGTCTCGAACTTCTGACTGCAAATGATCCACCCGCTTCAGCCTCCCAAAGTGCTGGGATTATAGGCATGAGCCACTGTGCCCGGCCTATGCCACTTTTTATACAAATGCAAAATCAAGGCCAGGGGCAGTGGCATACACCTGTAATCCCAGCACTTTGGGAGGCCAAAGTAGGCCTCAAGTGAGCCGGGTATAGTGGCTCATGCCACTAATCCTAGCACTTTGGGAGGCTGAGGCAGACGGCTCATCTGAGGTCAGGAGTTCGAGATTAGCCTGGCCAACATGGTGAAACCCCATCTCTACTAAAAATATAAAAAAATTAGTCAGGCGTGGTGATGCATGCCAGTGATCTCAGCTACTTGGGAGGCTGAGGCAGGAGAATCACTTGAACCCAGGAGGCGGAGATTGCAGTGAGCAGAGATTGCTCCACTACACTCCAGCCTGGACAACAGAGGAGATTCTGTCTAAAAATATGTATATGTATGTATGTGTGTGTGTATATATATATATATATATATATGTAAAATCACAGTCTTATATTAGTGTTTTAAAATTGTGTGAAGTACATTGGGAGCATAGGGGAAGGAGCTCTAAATCTATCTGGGAAGGAGAGGAAGGCTTCACAGAGCAGGTAGCAAATTGAATTATAACAATTAAGAGTTTCAGACAGAGAAAATATCATGAGAAATAGAGAAAATAGCCAAGTCATGGAGGGGTGAGAGAATGTGGTGTGTTTAGAATTGAATATCAATAATAAAGTGGGAAAAGAGAATAGATTTAAAAATGTTTAAATAGGATTGATCAAATTTAGAGATTGTATATGAGGTGTGAAGGTCAAAGAGCAGTCTAAGAATACTTACAGGTTTTGGGGTTTATGGTAATACCGTTTACTGAGGGGTTAGAACAGGATTTTTTTTTTTTTTTTTTTTTTTTTTTTTTTTTTTTTTTTTTTTTTTTTTTTTTTTTTTTTTTTTTTTTTGAGATGGAGTTTCGCTCTTGTTACCCAGGCTGGAGTGCAACGGCGCGATCTCGGCTCACCGCAACCTCTGCCTCCTGGTTTCAGGCAATTCTCCTGCCTCAGCCTCCTGAGTAGCTGAGATTACAGGCACGCACCACCATGCCCAGCTAATTTTTTGTATTTTTAGTAGAGACGGGGTGTCACCATGTTGACCAGGATGGTCTTGATCTCTTGACCTCGTGATCCACCCGCCTCGGCCTCCCAAAGTGCTGGGATTACAGGCTTGAGCCACCGCGCCCGGCAGAACAGGATTTTTGAGGAAGTAATAAGGGCAGTTTGGGGTGTGTTGTGTTTAAAGGGCTTGTGGGACATTCAGTTGGTAATTATAGAAGGAGGCATTTGTACATATAAATCTGGGATTTGGAGATTGGAAAGTTACCTACGTGGAGATGTAAGGCTCCCAGATAAAAAATAGGATGCCAGGTTACATTTGACTATCAAATAAAGAATGGTAATTTTTACTGTAAGTGTGTTGCATGCAATACTTGGAACACACTTATTCTAAAATAGCATTATTTCAGCTATAGCTAAAAAGAAGGTTTCCTTTTCCTGTAAGATAGTAGAACAGTTTGCTGAGCAATTTGTAGGTAAGGTGGAAGGGTTGAGGGATGTTGAGGGAGTTCTTAGTTACTTCTTTTTACTTGGTGAAATTGAAATATCAAAGAGCAGGAAAGATGTGGGGTTGGGACTTGTGAGCTATGAAGGTGTAGAAGAGTTGTGAGGTAAAAGAAATGAGTCAGGGAAATATAACAGGAATATTAGAAAAACTTTGGAAATTGAATTGATAAGGTAAAGTAATTTTTATTGAATCTTAAACACTCATTTTGGTAATTCGAAGATGTATATAATAATTTTAACTTCCTCTTCTTTTTGTAAATGTCAGTAAATATTGTTATTTAGGTATAATGTTTAAGAACATGCACTTTGGATTGAATAGACTTAGATTCATCCATTTAGCAAGTATTTATTAAATTACACAATTACGAAACTAATAAAAAGTATAAGAGCTAACATTTTGGCTGATTGCGGTGGCTCATGCCTGTAATCTCAGCACTTTGGGAGGCCGAGGTGGACGGATCATGAAGTTAGGAGTTCATGACCAGCCTGACCAACATGGAGAAACCCCATCTCTACTAAAAATACAAAATTAGCAGGGCATGGTGGCGCATGCCTGTAATCCCAGCTACTCTGGAGGCTGAGGCAGGAAAATTGCTTGAACCTGGGAGGTGGAGGTTGTGGTGAGCCGAGATCACACAGTTGCCTGCTTGCCCTCCAGCCTGGGCAACAAGAGTGAAACTCCGTCTCAAAAAAAAAAAAAAAAAAAAAAACCATAAAAAAAAAAAAAAAAAAAAAAAAAAAAAAAGAACTAGCATTTTGTGTATGTATCGTGCTTACTTTTCACTAACTGTAAAATGTCATGCTATAAGTCATTTGTTCCCTCCCTCCCCATTGGCCCTATGGGTTAGGTAATATATCTTTACTTTACAGATAAAGAAATTGAAACTAAGAAATATTAAATAGCTTGTTTAGGAGACAAGATCATATCTGTTTCTGTCTGCTGTTGGAACCCATAGTCTTTTCTGTTAGGTTGACTGTTTTGGGCGATTGGTTATACAGAGGTGAAAAAAACAGATATGGTCCCTGTCCGTAATGGATGTGATCTTTTCAGTCTAATGTGTGTGTAGGAGGAATGGTGAATGTTAAGGCATTAATCAAATTATCCAAATAAGTAATTAAATGATTTATTATGATAAGTGCTGTGAGAGAAAGGAGATGGGAGAGACTCCTACAACAGGGGAACTTAATTTCAACTGGGCCAGAGTTTGAATTCACTGTAGTAATTACTTTGTATTTTCACATCTATGAAGGTGATATCATGGGTTTTAGAACAGAGAGACTGGCTGGGCACAGTGGCTCACGCCTGTAATCCCAGCACTTTGGGAGGCTGAGGTGGGTGGATTACCTGAGGTTAGGAGTTCAAGACCAGCCTGACCAATGTGGTGAAACCCCATCTCTACTAAAAATACAAAAATTAGCCGAGCATGGTGGTGGGTGCCTGTAATCCCGGCTATCCAGGAGGCTGAGGATCACTTGAAAGCAGGAGGTGGAGGTTGCAGTGAGCCAAGAAGGTGCCATTCCACTCCAGCCTGGGCAACAGAGTGAGACTCCATCTCAAAAAAAAAAAAAAAAAAAAAAAAGAACAGACTGTCTGGGTTTAATTCCCATCTGTGCATGTAGTCTCTTTGTGACCTTGGGCAAGTTGCTGAACATCTCTTAGCTTCACTTTACTCATCTATAAAGAAGGTATATCTTATAGACAGCACCTCTTTGGGTACTCATAATAAATATCATGGGAAGTGGTGAATTAATGCAATGGTTCCTAGTTTTTGGCATTTAATAGTCTAAAGAAATTTCTAAAGTAACTTTGGAACTATCATAGCTACTCATTTATTTTGCTATGTGTAGGGAGATTAAAAATACAACTGCCATGTATTACCATCATTGATTCAGAAAAGTAAGACTATTTTTTAAAATTTTCTGTTTTGAAATATGTAAGGATATTTTAACATCAAAAAAAAAAAGGATGGTTGTAATTTCAGAATAAAGGACCATTCAAGATAGGCATTTACATTTTTAAAAATGTTTCATGATTACATTTTGTTTTAAAACATTTTGAAGAATGTAAGAATAAATAGGATTTTGTCTGTGATGATTTTATGTATAACGAGCAGATTGCATTGACACTCTTGTATCTTTTCTGCCATTAGCAGAAAAGACAGCTTGTAAGTCTGTTGGCTAAAATGATTGAGATACAAACTCTAAATCATTCTGATTTAATTTTTTTTTTCTTTTGAGACAGAGGCTCCTTCTGTTGCCCAGGCTGGAATGCAGTGGCACGATTTAGGCTCACTGTAGCCTCCTCCTCCTGGGTTCAGGTGATTCTCCCGCCTCAGCCTCCTGGGTAGCTAGCTGGGATTATAGGTATGAGCCACCGTGCCCAGCCAGATTTAATTTCATTTATTGCTGCTTTTTGCCAGGTGTGGTGGCTCATGCCTATAATCTCAGCACTTTGGGAGGCCAAGGTAGGCAGATCACCTGGGGTTAGGAGTTTGAGAGCAGACTGGCCAATATGGTGAAACCCCATATCAACTAAAAAAACATAAAAATTTGCTGGGTATAGTGGTGCATGCCTGTAGTCTTAGCTACTTGCGAGGCTGAGGCAGGAGAATTGCTTGAACCCGGGTGGTAGAGGTTGCAGTGGGCCAAGATTGCGGCCAAGTGGGCCACTACCTAAAAATAGGTAGTGCTTAGCGTTTGGAATAATTATCTATAACTCCCATATATCAAAATTACATTTGAAAAGTAGATAAAACTACTGTAAAAGATTCTCTAATTCTGAAACGTTGTTGTAAAGATTAAATCTAGTCTAATAACTTGTAAATTTTGACTTTTGAGGTGTTTGTGAAGGTGTTTATGATCAGGATGTTTAAGAGATTAATGGGATAGAATCATTTTTTTTGCTTGAATTTCTAGTTTACTTGCATCCACTATATTCATTGTTACTTTTTTCTTTTCTTTTTTTTTCTAAAGGAGTATGGATGTGCCCAACAGCCAAAAACTCAAGAAAGTGAATTGAAAATTAGTGCTGTGTTTTCAGTTAGTGACAGACCTCTTGGTAAGAAATGGAACTGTATAAGTTAATTACAATTAGTATTTGCTTATTCTGACTAGTAAAGTTGAGGGAAAGCATCTTTTCATGTATGTCTTTCTCTTCCTTTAGCGCTGTTTGTTTTTCAGACTGTGAGTAGTTGGTTTGCAGCAGTATTTAAAAATATAAAATAGAATAGGATTATATCAGAATAATATGAGTAGTAACGAAACATATTGTTTCATAAAACTTCTGTTTCAGTGATTAAATTGTACACACATCCCCACGTTTACAAATGTATATGTGTGAAAACTGGGTTATAATACTAAATGTATTTCCTACTTTGGGTCATGGTAAAAAAAAAATTGAAACCTCCGTTTTGGGGTGCTTATTGCCTCATTAACACTGAATTTCAAGATAGGAAATTTGTCCTAAAAAAGAGACTGGGCTGGGTGTGGTGGCCAACACCTATAATCTCAGCAAATTGAGAGGCTGAGGCAGGAGGATAGCTTGAGCTCAGGAGTTTGAGACCAGCCTGGGCAACACAGCAAGACCTTATCTCTACTAAAAATTTTAAAAAGGCCAGGCGAGGTGGCTCACACCTATAATTCCAGCACACTGGGAGACTGGGGCAGGTGGATCACTTGAGGTCAGAAGTTCAAGACCAGCCTGACCAACATGTTGAAACCCTGTCTCTACTAAAAATGCAAAAATTAGCCAGGTGTGGTGTTGCATGCCTGTAATCACAGCTCCTCGGGAGGCTGAGGCTGGAGAATTGCCTGAACCCGGGAGGTGGAGGTTGCAGTGAACCGAGATTGCACCATTGCACTCCAGCCTAGGCAATGAGAGCAAAACTCCATCTTGGAAAAAAAAAAAATTAGCTGGGTATGGTGGCATGTGTCTGTAGTCCCAGCTACTCAGGAGGCTGAGGTGGGAGTACTGGTTAATTGTGGGAGTTTGAGGCTGCAGCGAACTATGATTGCACCACAGTGAGACCCTGTCTCAAAAAAGGAAAGAGAAGGGAGGGGATGGGAAGGGGGAAGAGAGAGAGAGAGAGAGAGAGACTGTATATGCATTAGTATTGATACTAAAACTTTAAACACTGTATGTGCATTAGTATTGATACTAAAACTTTAGACACTGTATATGCATTATTATTGATACTAAAACTTTTTTTTTTTTAATTTTGTTTTGATAGCCCAACAGTTGAACCCAGGCTTTCAGCTTTCTTTTGCATCATCTGGCCCAAGTGTATTGCTTCCTTCAGTTCCATCTGTTGCTATTAAGGTTTTTTGTTCTGGTTGTAAAAGAATGCTTTATAAGGGGCAAACTGCGTATCATAAGACAGGATCTACTCAGCTCTTCTGCTCCACAAGATGCATCACCAGACATTCTTCACTTGCCTGCCCACCACCTCCTCCCAAGAAAACCTGCACAAATTGCTCCAAGTATAAAATTTTTGACACCCCTTTTTACTTTACTTTTTTTTTTTTTTTTTTTTACGGTGTATATAGTTTAGTTCAAACATGCTGTTGATACTTTATAGCTCTTTATCATGTGTCTGTAGAAAGTAATGGAAGAATTTGCAAATTTTAAAGTTTTACAACATTAAATAAGTGACTTGGTGTTAGAATATTGCCTAAACCAGTTTTCTATCACTTTAAATTTTACTGTGGAAAGAAGTAACAAATGACTTGTGGGAATTGCAGGACTATCCTAGAATTGTAGACAACAACCATTTAAATTTATATAACAGTTTTCTTGAAAGTTATTTGGTATAGCATACAATAATATCACTCTTTTAATAGTATATGAATGCTATTTAATTCTTTAAAAAGTAAAAACTCTACATAGTCACAAAAATGTGTTTATTTCTAATGTCCTTGTGGGGTCATTGTTGCTTTATAATAATGCTTAGATGCAGAGAGAGGAAAAAAGAGCAACAAAGTTACATAAATCTTTCCCTGCCTTAGTACGTTGGAAGGATTTGACATGTTTTGCCCATTTCTGTGATAGTGTAATTCGAGGAATACAGTGTGTTGTTAGTAGTCCCTACAGGCAAAAAACAGTAAGAGCTTGGTTTTAAATTGTGGCTCTATGATTTATCTCTGTGACTTTGGGCTAGATATTTAACTTTCTAAGCCTCCATTTCTCATCGGAAAATAATAGTTGCTTCCTAGGATTTCAATGAGACAGTGTTAGCACATGGCCTATCACATAACAAGTACTTAACAAATAGAATCCTGTTATTAGTAATAAAAATTCTATTGTGTATTACTATTTATAATTAACATAAATCTATTAAATATATGTACATACCATACATATTAACATGTATACTTAACATATCTCTTGTAGGCCCCTGTTTTGCCTTTGGCCATGTTTATCTGCTTTGTGTCTTGACCTAAACTATCTAAAAGTAGATCCTGCTATTTGGAAATTTCCAACAAAAAAGGAGAGAGGATTTTTTTTTTTCTCTCTTGCCCAGACTGGAGTTCAGTGGCATGGTCACAGCTCACTGCAGCCTTGAACTCCCCAGGCTCAGATGATCTTCCTACCTTAGCCTTTCCAGTAGCTGGGACCACAGGCACACACCACCATGCCCAGCTAATTTTTGTATTTTATTTGTAGAGATGGTTTTGCTATGTTGCCCAGGGTGATCTTGAACTCCTGGGCTCCAGCAAGTAGCCTGCCTCAGCCTTCCAAAGTGCTGGGACTATTGGCATGAGCCACCACGCCTGGCCAGGAGAGAGGAATTTTAAATAGTTATATACCGTAAATCAGTTTTGTTGCAAAATGCCCTTCTAATTAACACTTTTATGTCATGTTCATGAAACTAATCTGAAAGAGTAGACTTCGTTTTCTATTTTTAGATTGTTTCAACATACCAAATATCAAAATAAAATTAAATAATTTTAAAGAACATGACTTATATATCCAAATGCCTCTTGTTTTCTTAAAAGTAGTCACCCTCGTCAGTGACTTTTTAGCATAGTGCTGCTCTTACTCAAATTTTTTTTTGCCCTCTCGATTTGGCATTACCTTTACAGCTTATGAAACATTCCTGTAGACTAGGTTAGGAGACAGATTCTTATCTTTTCAGCATGCATTTGATTTTTATGAATTGCCAAAGACTGCTTGATACCTTAATCGGGTCAATTTAGTAGCTAAATTGAGTCATACTATTAAAACATGAGATTTATAAAATTAAAAGTTAAAAAATAATTCTAAGGGTTCATAAAACTTAAAAAAATTAGAAAAATGTTTTGAGCTATGTTATTGTTGGGAGAGGTGTGGTTTTTCTAAGATAAATGTTATGGTATAACACTCATTTGCATGCGTAAGGTTTAGAGTACATTTCTAATGTATGTGCACAAATTTTCATTATAAAGTTATTCTCTTTGATTTATGCATTTTTACTTACAATTTTTTCTTTTACTCATGCAACTGGCAGATTCACCTTATTAAGTGAAACTCTTTATTGCTGTGTTTTCGGTAGAAAAATCACTTTCAAAATTAATACTTCATCTGTATATAAGCATATTCTTTTGGTTTCCAAGATTTGCTGTCATATTTTTACAGTTCAGTTTTACATAATAATTTTTATTGTTGTTATTTTCTCATGGTTTAGCATCTAATACACCTGTATAATAAAGGTCCAGGATGGGAGGCAGGATAGTGGAATAATTAATTCCTTAGACTAGAATCAGACTGTCTGGATTTGTATTTCAGCTTTACTGCCTACTAGCAATATGACTTTGACAAGCTGTTTAACCTCTGATTCAGTTTCCTCATCTCTAAAGAGGCAGCTGCAATAATACTTAATCTCATAGTGGTTTGGGGATTTTTTTTTTTTTTTTTTTTTTTTTTTTGAGACAGGGTCTCACTCTGTCACCTAGGCTGGAATGCAGTGGCACAATCCCAGCTCACTGCAATCTCTACATCTCCGGCTCAAGCAGTCCCCCCAACTCAGCATCCTGAGTAGCTGAGACCACAGGCATGAGTCAGCATGCCTGGCTAATTAAAAAAAATTTTTTGTAGTGATAAGGTCTTGCTCTGTTGCCCAGGCTGGAGTGCAGTGGTGTGATCACCGCTCACTGGAGCCTTGAACTCCCTGGGCTCAAGCCATCCTTCTGCCTTGACCTCCCAAAGTGCTAGGATTATGGGGGTAAGCCACCGCACTCTGTCATTTTTGTGGTATTTAAATTGGGTAATTTGAGTAAAGAGAATAATGCCTGGCACATAGTAATTACTTAACACACTTATTGTAGTTTATATTATTGCATTATTATTTACTTTGTGGCCTGCACTAGTGTTTATAATTAGTTGTTATGCTTATCAGAAGAATGGCAATACTTAGCCTCTGTTTTACCCGGGTATTGCTGTTTGTGCTTATTGCAATAAGTAGCTCTTACAAATTGGCTCTAGGAATCTCACAGAACCAACTATTTTTGTTCTTCCTGTCTGATTCTTGTCTCCGTCTGTCCTCTGATCCAAAGCCTTAACAGCCCTTTTGTCATGTGTTTCTTTGATCTTTTCAGTTATAGCTAAATATTATATATCATGCTTATTTTTTGTATTCTGGTGGCTCATCTGTTTCTCAAAATCTTGCGCTTATAATTTTTAAAAATTTATTATCTCAGCTGGACATGGTGGCTCATACCTGTAATCCCAACACTTTAGGAGGCCAAAGCAGGAGGATCACGAGGTCAGGGGTTTGAGACTAGCCTGGCCAATATGGCGAAACCCTGTCTCTACTAAAAATACAAAAATTAGCCAGCTACTTGGGTGGGAGTAGTCCCAGCTACTTGGGTTGTAGGCTGAGGCAGGAGAATCACTTGAACCTGGGAGGTGGAGGTTGCAGTGAGCCAAGATCATGCCACTGCACTCCAGCCTGGGCAACAGAGCGAGATTCTGTCTCAAAAAAAAAAAAAAATTTTTTTTGTCTCATTTCTGTTCTCCTCTGGGCACCCTCTGGCTAGTAAGAGAACCAGTGTCTTGTGGTCTGGAGTTGTGGGATGGCCACTGACTGGTCCCATTGGCTATAGCAGATGAAACTTGGTTGGGGCTGAAAGCCTTCCTATTTTGTCTTCAGCATCTGGCTGGCAGTATTTTAAATATAATTTGCTCTTGACAAATTTATGAATTAGGTATCATAAACCCCATTTTATACATAAGGAAATTGAGATAGTAATTACATCATTCATTGTCACTCACCTAATAAATAACAGAACTCATCATCAAATCCAGGTCTGCAGATGCCTTATCCTTTTTCTACCATACAATAGCTGCCTTTAGTAAATGTTGTTTCAACTCACAAAGAGGAGGAATTTACAGTTGTGAAGAACACATTTCATTTTACCTTTGTTATTTATTTTTAGAGACATTTTAAATCCTAAGGATGGGATCACAACCCGCTTTGAGAATTCCTCTCTCAGCAAAGATTTCTGCAGCCAATCATGCTTGTCTTCTTATGAGCTGAAGAAGAAACCTGTTGTTACCATATATACCAATAGCACTTCAACTAAGTGCAGTATGTGTCAGAAGAATGCTGATGTAAGTTACATTTTACTTTTATTGGGATTCTGCTCAAAGAGTTTTTTTTTTTTAAACTGGCTCTGCTTATTTTCTGTATTTATGTGTGTGTTTATTTCCTAGATTCGGTTTGAAGTTAAATATCAAAATGTAGTACATGGTCTTTGTAGTGATGCCTGTTTTTCAAAATTTCACTCTGCCAACAACCTCACCATGAACTGTTGTGAGAACTGTGGGAGCTATTGCTATAGTAGCTCTGGTCCTTGCCAGTCCCAGAAGGTTTTTAGTTCAACAAGTGTCATGGCATACAAGCAGGTATGAATATCTATCTGTTGCATGTAGTTAGGCTTACTCCTTCTGATTTGACTGCACAGAAATGAACTACAAAATGAGAGTGAGCTCCTCCCATTAGTCCATCCTGATGTGTGATTTCCCTTCCAGAAAATGCGATAGACTCTGATGGTATGAGGGATGATTATGGTGGTAAGTTGATATAGGTAAAATAGTTCCCTTTTTTAAAGGCTCCCTTCATAGCTAAGAATTCACAAATGTGATTTCTTTTTTTTTTAATTGAGATGGGGTTTTGCCATGTTGCCCAGGCCAGTCTTGAACTCCTGAGCTCAAGCTATCCACCCGCCTCAGCCTCCTGAAGTGCTGGGATTACAGACGTGAGCTATAACTCCCGGCCTCATAAATGTAGTTCCATGATTTTCTGTGAGCATGAAATATTTTGTGATGTATTGATAGCAAGAAAACCGTATTATAAATAAACCTTAAGCAAGAGTTAAGATGATAAAATCAGTGAATCTAAACAAAACTTGTCTTTTTCATTTTAAAATGTGTTTGGGAATGAATTGGAATTATTTAGTCAACACTGCCTCATGAGAATACTTTAAGTAATTTTATTTATTGTAATGAATAATGGATTGAGCTGGTTACTAAATATATCACCTTTTGTCAATTTAATTATTACCGAATGATTTGTGGTTTTAAAGAAGTTGTTCTTAAAGATATAAAGATGTATCATGTAAATGATAAACATTTTTTTCAGTTAGCAAGTTTGATTTGTTACTTCCTCTGAGCAGTTGGAAATGGACATATGGACATTCATCACTGAAAAGAATCTCTTTTTTTAAGAATTGCCATTTTTGGCAGTCTGGTTACTACTTTCACAGGAAAAGAATCCATGTTATTTTACATATGATCCCAAAATCAGTTACATTTCTAATTTTGTTACTGGTATTATACTCTATCTTTTTACTAGAAGATTATGTAGTGAAACCTCACAATTTATATTTTTCTACTATTTTTTTTTTCATATTGTGAGATTTAGTGTGTCACTGACAGCATAGTGTAGTGGTTAGGAGCCTGAACTTTGGAGCCTGATGAGATGAGTTTAATTTCCTACTTCTTCTGATCATCTGTTAATTAAAGTTAATTTAAGCCTTTTGTTAATGTAATTTTTGAAAGCACCTCACTCTGTCATTGAAAGGATTCTGTGATACACTATGTATAAATTGCTTAGCTTGGGGTCTGGTTCATGGTAAGCATTCAGTAAGTTATAATATTGGTTATGTAAATGGTAGCTATTTTTGTTATTTCTTAAAACATGACTAAACTTATAGGCAGATTTTTATTATGAAACTCAGCTTGAAAAATAGGTAGTTCTATAGGATCTCTATTCATATACATTAAGTACCATTTCTATCTCCTGCTGAAGAGTCTCACAAATTAAGAAACCTTAAAGGTGATAGACTGTCCTAGATTGACGTACATGACTATAAGGAGAATGGCCCTTTGGTTCATGAATTAGCTGGCCTTCTCTGGTTATTGGTGATGTAAAAGTATGTAATGACTACCTAATTCATTACTTGTGTTTGAATTAGTGTGTTTTGTTTGCTAAGATACCTATCTGAGTAGTTACTAATTTTCTTCCATTTCAATTTTTTTATTGTGTGGAAGAACTTATTTTCCCACTTCCCAATAGTGTGGTTTCATCGTCATACTCAAATATTTCAACTAAGGGCCGTGATTGTAGGAAGCTTTTCTTTTTACTTTTTTGTATAATATGTAAATACGTATGCTTGTACTAGGTTTCCAATGTTATTTTATTTTAATAGAATTCAGCCCAAACTCCTCCATATGCCCTGGGAAAGTCATTGAGGCCCTCAGCTGAAATGATTGAGACTACGAATGATTCAGGAAAAACAGAGCTTTTCTGCTCTATTAATTGCTTATCTGCTTACAGAGTTAAGACTGTTACTTCTTCAGGTAATGTTTAAATTTGATAAATTTATAGATTTAATAACTATTGAAGAAAAATGTAACCGCTCTTCTTTGATTTTGTTACAAGCTGAATTTATCTATTTGTTTAAATAAAGACCCAAGATTGACTTTTAAATAACTTTTATGTGAAAATAATTTTTCACTGATTTTCTTGGTTGCAATTTATATAGTATTTTATAGTTTTATATGTGAAAAGAAAGAAAAAATACTTAGAATTTCCAAGTTAGTTTTTCTGTAAGTGGGACTTAATTGAGTTTAGTTGTAGTTAGATTTCAGATTTTTGTAAAGTTTCTTGATTTTTTTTTTTGATGTTATTTAATTTTTCATTCTCCCAGTACATTTTTGGATTGTTTATTCATTTGTATAACTTAATAGTTGGTTTTTATTTTTTGTCACCAAGGTGTCCAGGTTTCGTGTCATAGTTGTAAAACCTCAGCAATCCCTCAGTATCACCTAGCCATGTCAAATGGAGCTATATACAGCTTCTGCAGCTCCAGTTGTGTGGTCGCATTCCAGGTATGATCTAAGGTAGCACATCATGCATGTGGTTCTCTTAGGCATTGATCTGTGGCACAGTGTTAACTGCTAAAGGCCCATTCTTATAAAAGTTTAAATTTGAATTGAAAAGAAAAAAATTTGTTTCAACCAGGGTCCCAAGCAGGTCATTTCTACAAAATATCTGAACCTAGATATTGGGTGTCAGCAATTTTTTCTTTATTTGGAATCCTTGCCTAAACGGTTGTTCCCTCCCACTTTCTCCCTTGGGTCTCTCTTCAAAAAAGATGGAAGCTAGGATTATGGTTTGGGTAGGTGGTATGGTGAAGAACAGTAGCCTGTTGGGATTCACATACCCCTTCCTCTCATCCTGGGTCAGATACCTAGTGACTCCTGGCATGGAATTGTAAGCATCCACTCGTCCCATTTTCTCCGCCCTCTCTGCAATACACACACAAGAGTAGAGTTTAGTAATCCCCGGGGTAGGAACATGTTTGACCCAGTATCCTTGGCAGCAGGGAGAAAGAGACTGCTGGTGGCTATTGTGTCTTTATAGCCATCAGAAGCTAGTTGATGATGGGAGTGCAGGTGGATGTGGGGGGCTGGGAGGAAGGAGAGGCCTGCTTTAATTTATTAGAGGAAGTATGCCATTTAAACTCTTTCTGTGAGATAGAAAATTTTAAAAAAATGTTGGTGGGGGACTTAATTTATTAAAATGAGGAAATGAAAAGTACCAAGTTACCTTATTTCTCAGTTGATAAAATCTTTACCTTATTTGTTTTAATTCAGAATGTATTTAACAAGCCAAAAGGAACAAACTCTTCAGCAGTGCCCCTGTCTCAGGGCCAAATGGTTGTAAGCCCACCCTCCTCCAGGTCAGCAGTGTCAACAGGAGGACGTAACACTTCTGCGGTTTCCCTTAGTGCCATCAGTTTCTCTGCTACAGCTGGCCTCCAGCCTCTCAGGCCTCTCGCTGAACAATCCCAGCAAGTTGCTTTAACCCATAGAGTTGTTAAACTCAAGTGTCAGCAGTGTAACCATCTGTTTGCCACAAAACCAGAACTTCTTTTCTACAAGGTAAACAGAGATCATGAAAAGGATTGAATATAAACTTATCCAATAGAAACACTTTTGTCTTTTTAATTTGGATCACTCGGCCGGGCGCAGTGGCTCACGCCTATAATCCCAGCACTTTGGGAGGCCGAGGCGGGTGGATAACGAGGTCAAGAGATCCAGACCATCCTGGTCAACATGGTGAAACCTCGTCTCTACTAAAAATACAAAAATTAGCTGGGCATGGTGGCGCACACCTATAGTCCCAGCTACTCGGGAGGCTGAGGCAGGAGAATTGCTTGAACCCAGGAGGCGGAGGTTGCGATGAGCCGAGATGGTGCCATTGCACTCCAGCCTGGGTAACAAGAGCGAAACTCCTT